ACGTAACAGCAGATATGGCAGCCCTACCAGAGAGAGCGAATCTCAGGGTCCACGCAACCCAGTCCAAACCCCTCAGCCTGCCATAAAAGATCTGCTCTAATGGCCTCTCATGCTTCCCTGCTCACAATAGCCACTCTCCTTGGCCTCATTCTTCTATTTCTGTCTTATTTCCAGGAAAGCCTTCCTCATAGGAGACATCAGCTCTTCCATTCTACATCTCTCCTGGCTACTGCGTATGGCTTTATCTTTAGAGTTGCAAAACCTCTGCTCACAGATATGCGTCACAAGCGAGATCACACCTTCATTTCCAAAGCGCTAAAACATGAATTATTACCTCTGACTTTTAAGTGTATTTCAAGTATGAAATGCAACACCATTTGTGTAATGCTTCTTGTAATTTCCATCAGATAGTAGATTAGTTCTTTATTGCCATGATCCTTTTACATGGGCTCTAAGAAGACAAAGACTAGGGGAGATGCCCAGCGACTATTCATTTGATAATTAATCAAAGTTGTTATCTGATAGTCTACTTCCGGAACACATAATGCCCACATTTCTTCCAGATGGGGTCTTTGAAACTATCTCTGGATAGAATGAAGGGAGGAATGGGAAATCTACATAAAAAACCATAATGGCTGTAAGTTAATGAACTTAATTACATGATCAAGAAATGACGAGGGACGATAGAAAGCCATCACGGGCACTAGAAGGCTCTGTTCTTATCTCGGTGGACCCAGGGTGGTACCTGCAACACACAGTCTTTATCTGGAATACTGGCAAGTATGAGGAAAACATGAGTTTGACTTTCACAGGCTTTGAAGAGGGTTTATGGGTCTGATTGAAATTGTAGATAGATACCTGATTGGCTATATTTCTGCTGTGTGGTCAAAAGTTTGTTTATTTATATGTTTCAAAAGGAGCATCTAACTCTACTTTCTATTTCTACATTTCCACTCTGCATCATTGGTAAGCTGTGAATGGCATCAACTGTTACTGACTGCTGTCATCTATGGGGGGAAGTAGCAATGGCCTCTGCATGTTCATCTTAATTTCTACAATTCTTTCTTTAACTTTATCCAGGACTTTATTCCTTTAAGGTTTCAAACTCAATTTGCTTTTACAGGGCGGGGGTGAGTATAAGGAATCAAATTCAGGACTTCATGCTTGCCAGGCAGGTGCTGCACCACTGAGCTATATCCCTGGCCCCTCAAACTCAATTTTCTGTGGAAGAAATATAAACTCTAAAATGTAGACACTATAGTCTGCCTATGTGTTGTACACTTTGGATAGAAGGGCTTCGTCACTATGTAAGACACAAAATGTCATGGCCATTTTTCTACACCAGTGCTCAAATGAGGTTTATATAATATAATTTTTAGATTTCCCTACCAATCGAGGTATGCTTAGCTGCAGATCACCCCTCCCAAAAATTATTTTCACATTCTAAAACCATAATCCGTAAACATTATGTTCTTTTAGGAAATAAAAAGCTATCTTTGTAGAAGGAATTAAGTTAAAAATCCTGAGATAAAGAGTAATTCTAGATTTTGTCCTAAATACAGTGACAAGAATACTTCAAAGAGCTACACATAAGAAAAGACAAGGTGACGGGGCTGGGGATTTAGCTCAGTGGCAAAGCGCCTGCCTGGCAAGGGCAAGGTCATGAGTTAGGTTCCCAGTACCAGAGAAAAACCATAAATAAAAAAAAAATTAAAAAAAAGAAAAGAAAAGAAAAGAAAAGGCGACCACAGCAGCAGAGGTCAGACTGACGAGACCCCACGCCGAGGAAGACCTGGCCCATCAGAAGCCAGAAGAGTCTCCTTTCAGCTTCTGCCCGGTGCCTGGCACTGCTGACACTCAGAGTTCAGATTTCTCCACCCCAGACTTTTGTTGTTTGGGACCAGGTGTATGACAATTCAAGACCCACAAAAAAACAAATACACAAGAGTAATTTTAATTGTAATACTCTTCATTTAACATAAGGATCACTTTTTACCTGGTCCAATTACAATATTTTAGGTCTACTTTAGCTAGGTTTATTCTTGACATTTTTTATCTTTGGGGTGCAAGAATGGAAACAGGTCTTTTTTGGGTGGAGTGCAACTTCAGAGACACTCTGTTAGTGCTGGTGATAGGGCTTTCTGTGTTTCTCTTGCTTCACCAGTGTGCAGAGCATGCCCAGCCCCTGCCAGCTAGGGCTTTCTATGCTTTCTGATATCTCATGTTACCTGGGCTTCTCTAGTCTGCTTTGATTTGTTTGCCTGTGACTCAAAGTGGGGGTAGAAGAGGAAAAGTCTTGCTCCTCCACTAAGTATCCATGTAAATTAATCCATGTGTACTGTTCAGGGAATGAACAGTTTAACCTTAAACCTTCTGAATGAGTCCTCTTTCTTAAACACATACTTCGGTTCAGAAATAGAGATAGTATATGATAGTGACTGATCTTGCTTTCTAACAGGAAGCAGGTTGATGCTCCACTTGAGCAGGAATCATTGGAAATGAACTACTCAACAGGAATATCAGCCTCCCCACTTTGCAGAATAGACATATTCAGGAAACTCTGGGATATAGGTGCAAGTGCAGTATGCCTAAAGTGAAAGAAAAATTGCAGGGTAGCTCTCTGAAATCAGAGTACAGCGCAAAGTAATTGATACAGTGGCCTATAAAATTTGAAGAAATATTAGATAACTTACAGGATTTCCTGTGGCTCTAAAGCAGTGGTCTGTGAAAAATTGATGCTGTGGCTTACATAAGTCTACAGACATGTTTTGTGAGGTCTGACTTCATTCTTTTAAAATTGGATTCAAAACTGAACACTCATAATTTTTTACATTAAAGTCCAAATTGATGGCTTCCTTTGCAAAAAGGGAAAAGGTGAGGAATACCGGGTCTGTATCCTGGACAGGTAATAACTGGCTGACAGTCAGCTGAGATCTTTGAGGTACGCACTGTATTATCATGGCAGTTTCCATTCCCTCTACCTTGCTTTAAGTCATATTACTTCATATAACACTAGATATTTTATTTGATATGTTAAAATCTGTTCAAAGCTTTTGTAACTCTGATTTTCTAGTTTAGTGATCCGCTTATTCAATATCATTTTCAAATCTCATACATAAAATTACCTAAGAAAAATTCTTTCCTGGGAATGCCTTATACATCCACGATGCTCTCTTCTCTGTCTGTGACTGAGGCTTCGCTGTGTGCACAAGTCAAGCAGGTAGTTACCCAGATGCTCATTCTACTCTCATTCAAATGTCTTCAATTTCCTCTGGTGCTAAAGTTAGTGTTCAATATTTTTGATAAAATGAACATCTTTAGTTTGCATTTAAAAGAACCATTCCCACACCCCACACACACCTTAATTTTGGTCCTTGCACCCTTAAAACAGTAGTGCTAAAAAATTATAAAAGTTGGTAAACAGTCCCTTCCAGTTGAACATCTTTCATCATGTGAAACTGGCATGTCAATGGCTAGTGTCTCCAGGTAAACTTGCATTTTCCTGGGTTTAGCATTTCTGATATTAGACGTCTCAGTTCCTAAAATACTGTTTTCCTTCTCAGTAATAAATTATTTTTATTTTAAAAATTAACACCTTCAGGTATTGAAAAGTTTCCATAAGGAATGTAAGTATCATTTTCCTAGTAACTTCAATACTTTCTACCCAAAGCTTTGCTCACTACGGTGGGTGCTACCTTGGAGAGCAGGTTTCAGCCCTCTGCTGTTGCTGCTAGCAAGGGAGTTCCTAGATTAATCAGCCTTTTGTCTTTCTCTATATTAAAGCTATAATACAAAGCAAATCATTGTTGTAAACCACAGAACTGATAATGATTCCCAGGGGCAAGAGCTAGGAAATTAAGTCAGGGTAGGGAAGAGGCAAAACCGCTTGAACCTCCTATAGTTTGATGTGTTCCTTGAGCTTTTATCTGGACAGGCCACTTCATCTCTGATTCGTTGCTCTGTGATACCCCAATGCAGAGCTTAAATTTCTCATGGAACACAATGTTGTTTTCTGTCATACCCTTCCTGGGCACAACAGAGCTTCCTGCCTTTGCAGTAGTAACTGAGTATGGATTAATTGAAAGAAATTTAAATGCAGAAATACAGGAGTGGATGAAAAAGTGAAAAATAAATGCTTAATCCCTCAACACCTTCCCGTTGATCTCAGAATGGAAACGTGACTGTGGCTTTCACAGGATGTCAACCTGCAACCTCAGCCCCTCTCCGATGCCTCCGTACCCACACACCATCTGCCCCTTTGCTTATTGGCCTTTGGCTCCAGTCCTGACCCTCCGCTCCGCAATCCCTTTTCAGCCCTGAAGTTCTTTGCACGTATTCCTTTCACCTGGAAAGGTTTTCCCAAAGGAGCATGCACAGGGCTCTCCTTCCTTCCCTAAGTCTCGCCCTGCCTATCAGCTGTCATCTAGAGATCTTCCTGGATTATACGACCTCATCTAAAGTGAGTTTCTCCAAATCCTTTTACTCTACCACTTTGGATATTTTCTTTGTTGTGCTAATACAGTTATAATGCTTAAATAACCACCGTCTGGTTTACTTCTTTCACACAGAAAGTTACACATGCCATAAAGACCAATTTTGTCTCATTTATTTCTACACAGTGTTTGGAAAACCTGCCGCATCGTCAGGGAACCGATGAAAGAATAAGTGGTGAATGAATAAATGAAATCAGAAGATAGGGTGTATGCGTAGGGTTGCCGTCATACATTTCATTATACTCTGCTGTGTGCGTGTGTTTGTGTGTGTGTGTCTGTGTGTGTTAATCATAAGTAGTTGATTTTGTAAACCATTTTATTTTTCCCGTTATTTTCCTATAAACCCTGATATGGGAGATTGAGTAAATGGCTCATTTCCACTATGGGCTTAGAAATGCTTTCTGGTCTTACAATCTGAAGGTTTCACAGGACCACGATCCAAATTTTCATAAGTCATTGTCACTGTCAGGAGGAACAGGGAGGACAGAGCTAATAACAGATACTCCATTGCTTACATGATTGTCTTTAATGTCATCCATTCAGAAGGGGTAGGAAAAGCTCACTTGAAACAGAAATGTGGACACACATTTGAAGCCATGGCAGAATGGTACAGGGTCAGGTGGTAGTTCCGGATCTATGATTAATTAGTTGTGAACTCTGGGCAAGTCGATCACTCTGCATGCTGATTTCCTCATTTGTGAAAATAAAGGTGAAAAGTTAGGTCGATGGCTTTCAAGCTGTGCTCTGCTGAAAGCTGTAGGTTGCGGTGGGATGTGTGAAGTACCTCCTGCTGTCTTAACCCTACTGTAATCACGGAAAGCCTCCTCTTATCCGATTTTTATATTGGAGCATTGAATATATTTTGGTTTTGAAAACAGGTCTCATTAAGAACACTTGAAAACCAGAGTGGATATTTTCCAATACCCCTCTAGCTTTTATATTATGAAAAAAATAAATTCAATATTTGAATAAAATAATTGAAAACCTGCTCTGTGCAAGGCACTGTGCTGTATGCTAGCAAATGAAAAACATGCATGGATTTAATTTACAATCTAGCTCATGGTCCATGATAACAGCAATATAAGAAAAATATACATTTAAAATGCATAACAATGACATAAGTGCAGATCTATAAAATTTAGAGGAGGTGAACCTCAGGAAAAAAAATATATTTTGCATATGAATGTATATTATATATATGCATTGCAAGTTACATATGAATGTTACATATATTCATATGCAAACTATATATAATATATATTAATATGTGACCTAGAAGAAAAGAATGAAGAAAAATTTGTATTTAATAGATATATGCCTAGTTAACATGGAGAACATTCATCTCCTCCCCATATTCTGCTCTCCTGACTTGCAATGAATTCACACTAGAAATAATGGGAGGGTAGCTACAATCTTTTATTTTTTTTAAACTGTTTCTTGCAGATGTATGTAAAGATCTTCACAGTTATGACGGGACTGACCATAGTTGTGGTCTCAAGGTGTTAGATTTCTCACACGCTGCTTTGACTCTTTACATGGATACTCATTTTTCACTTCCAATCATAGCATGGTAGCAAAACACATTCTGTAAGGAGATTTATCAGATTTTTGTTGTTGATTGTTTTTCAGGTACTGAGGATTGAACTCATGGCTTTAAACTTAGTAGGCAAGTGCTCCACCACTAAGCTACACTTCCAAGACTTTTAATAATTAACTCTTTCTAAAAAATTCTGGTTAGAGGAGATATTTCAGATGTTGTCATACTCCAATAGACTCCCTTAATGGGTTCAAAAATTGTTAATATCTCCTAAAGGCCCATTTAATGGTGATTGTGGAAATAAGGCTCTGAGCTAGACATTGAGGCCCACACCTATAATCTCAGCAGCCTGGGAGGCTGAGACAGGAGGAGCCCTAGTTGAAGACCAGCCTGGCCACTTAGTGGGAGCCTGCCTTAAAATAAAAAAAGGTGTAGTGGGGGGAATGTACCTGGGCAAGGAAATCCTGGGTTCAATCTCTACTACTGAAACCAAGAACAGAGAAGGTTCTGTTCTAGTAATCTTTTTTTCTCCAGTAGAGCTTAGAAAAGCACCGTGTGTATAAAGTGCTTCACCACCCCTGACTCAATAATATTTAATAATACATAAATGTCATCCATTATTTTATAGAAAGTATATCCTTTACTAATAGGAGCTACTGATATTTTAATTGTGCAACTAAACAGAGTAAAGTTATGTCATCAAGTTAGCCCAGATTAAATATACTCCATCAGATCAATAGAAAGAAGAAAATATTGGGCTTAAGACTGTATGTGTAAAATAAGGATATTTTACAATGAGCCGTCAATGCTAATGGCAGAAAGGTAAAGTGTGTGCATACACAAAGTCAAAACTGTTGCGTTTTGAAAGCTCCTTGGGAACAGATGTGGGGACATTTATAAATGTCAATATTCAGTAATCATCTGTACCAGAGGTGGGAAAACTTTTTCACTGGAAGGCAATATAGTAATATTTGGCGTTTTTATAAGCCAGTTGTTACCCATGGAAACCACTTTCCTCTGGCATTCTATCTCTATAACTGTGGCAGTAGGCAGGTGAATAACCCTATCTGCTCTAATCAACAGGGTAAGATCTGGATTCGACACATGGGGCCACAGTCCGCCAATCCCAAACAGATATAATTACAAATAATTTTTGTAAATGTATCTGGTTCCAACAAAATGCTTCAACAAAAAATGAAAGATTTCTTTTGAAATGACTTTTTTATAAATATTTTCAAAGGAGTAATTTAAAAATTCTTCACTCTAAGGTTTCATGTAGGGAATTACAATAGAGATGTGCTTTAATTTAACATATTATATCTGCTTTTGTCCAATGTAGTATTTAAATTGCTTTTATTACAATTCATCACATGAAATTGATTTCATGTAGTGAAATCTATTTTATAAAAGATTTCAATTATCACCTCCATTGGACAAATATCAATAAATAATATTGACGTGACTGAAGTTTATAATTTTTAAACTAAAAGTTTTAATTAATTGTTAAGTATCATTTTTAGCATGACTGATATGACAAATTAGGTGTTTTTAATATTGGCAGAGTGGGTGAAAAAATCCGTGAACTAACTTGATTCAGAACAACTAGTGACTTATCTGAAAGTAGAAAAGGCTGAATTCTCAGCTCAGATAAAATGTCATTTACACATTTTATTCATTTTGTACAACTTAATACCTGCCAACTCTTAAAAATACTGCAGTGGCTCAAGTAGAATCATTGACTGTCTCAAGTAACTACTGAACATGCAAACAGATTTTCTTAGAGTCCTCTTCATTCATAGAAAGGCAATGTGGTTTAGTCGAAAACAGCCCAGGACAAGAAGTAAAGGCCTTAGTTACCAAACCTGATATCATAAATCAAGTAAACTTTTGGTTTACCAGACTGCTTAATTCATGTCTCAGTATTATAGGTTCAGTAAGACTATTCACTTCTATTATGATGATTTTATTGGTAACTATTACTTCATTAGTTATTAAGTAATATAAAAATGAATGTGAAGATAATTTTGCTTTTGTAGCTAAGAAGGGCTGCAAGCATTGCTGCTTCTAAATTGCAAGTTAAGATTTTGTTTTTCTTTTCTTTATATTTCATTTTTGCAAGAGGAAGAAGAGAGCCCTTTTTCAATACTTATTTGCATTCTGTCCTTCCTCCCTTTAGGGTAGCATAGGTGCTTTCAGCAATAGGTATCTAATGTATCTAAGCTGATCCAGTGGCCATCTAAGTATGTTCAGTGGTTGGACGTAAAATAAGTTTTCTGCGATTGGACCATTCGTACATATTTTTCATCAATTCATTTCACAAGAGTCTCAATACTAAGTATGCAGTGGATGGAGCAAAATCACAATAGGCCATTTTATTTTTAGAATTTGATCCAGAAATTAAGAAAAATAAATAAATTAATTAATAAATGGTGCTGTCTTTATCAATGTTAGTACATAAAATAAACCAAAAAATACATCAACATTTACCATGAGATCATTTAAATGTATTTGCAGATGACCTGGTAAGGGAAACATGATTTACAACACGGGAAACATCTTTGAACAACCATAGACGCAAATGCACTGCACTGTAGGTCACCTAGGCTAGGTTGGCAGGAATGAGCAAAGTGGTCAGTCTCAAAGGCCACCCCCAAACACCTTCCTCAGATGGAGACTTTGGTAATCGTCTATGATTAAAAGAAATCAGCTCCTATCCTTCATCACGTTGCATGACTGTTTTGTCCATGTTTCTCCTGTGATGAGTCCATTTCGAAGGCTTCAGTTGTTTTGAAGACACTCCAAGTCCACAGAACAGCAGACGCGCCCATTCTGCACACAAGGACACAAGAGTCAGCCAACTGAGACACAGGGTGCAAGTCAGCGAGCGATCTGCCATCTTTCCATTCAAAATGACTTTCTGCATTTTGAAACAAGAAGTGACCACAAAATTAATTGCTGTGAAAATGCTAGGGAAGGAGCAGAAGGGACAAAGCCCTGACGGATCACCCAGGTTCTTTCTTATTCTATGTCCTGCCTGAGATTCATAAAGGCTTGGGAAATCTCCCCAGCAATGTAACTTTTCACTTCTATGTTACACTTACTCCAAATGAGATTCTTTCCAAAAATAAATATCTGAAAAAGACAATTTGTAGAAAAGCTAATCAGAAATACGAGAAGACTCTGAAGGCAAACCCAAGATGGTCTCAGAAAGGCAAGCACATTAGGGATAAATATAGTATTTCACATGATGGCTAGGAAGTAGACGGGATATTTTGATGCATATATCCCTGGAAATTCATTAAAATCCATTTTATATCATAATGAAATATGCCTTCAGGTACCCAATAATGAATCTTTAGCCTGATAGCAAAAATTAATGCTAAGTAACACACATGTCCATGCCTCCTGGTCACTTAGTGTCCTGTGGGTAAAGGTAAAGATGGCACCTTGGATTTTTGCTACATGATGTCTAATGTTATCCTTTCTGTACTGGGGCTGCATCATAGGATAGTACTTTCTAGGAAAGAGAAAAGAATCAACATCAGTATCAGCATTGAAAGGCAAATTGGTGCCCTCCTCTGATGTCTGAAGCTGAGCTAGAGTTTGAGGGGACCCAGTACACAAGTATTTTTAACTCGCTTAATCATGAGAATCTTAAACGGCTATTTCACTAGAGATTTTGACATGGATTAACCATTGCTCTAAATTGGTTAGTGTCAGAGGTTTTCCTGGGTCTGAAGAAGTTAAGGGTCACCATTATAATCTTAAAGATATATGAGAACATTTTATGGAAATTCCTCAAAAAAAGGTAGGAAATAATCACAATCAAATACTGTAGTGAGTGCTGTGGGCTGCACATTACACACTCTGATAATTAAACAAAACAAACAACTTCTGTCTTTTCACTGTTGACAGGTTCATGCAAAACCTTACACAGTAACATTTTCTAGATGAAAGGAGGTAGAACGTTTTCCTTTCCTCCTTTCATGCTTTTTTTCTTCTTCCAATTTTCAGGTAAAAATACCTTAAATCAGCTATAAGTTGGCTTAGACTCCATTGATAAAATTCTGCAGCTTAAAGGCCAGGGGAATGGTTCAGATTCCTTGTAATGAATCTTTTCATAATGTGAAGCTATGAATGAATTTGTCTTCTTACAAGGTGAAGCTATGATCCGTTGAGGCCTATTAACCTCCTACAGGAAATAAATGCCTGCCTGTGTTCACGGCACCCGCGGAACCTGTGTGATCAGATGCATCAGGAGGGAACCTCTGACAACTGTTGTCTGCTAGTCTTTCAAGGGCCGCCTATCCTCACGACACCCAATTACCTTGCATTTACAAGTTGTGCAGGGCGACCCGGCCATTGTCCACACTGCTCCGCTCAGCCTCGAAACACCAGAGCTGTCCAGGCAAGTTTTTCTGATGTCGTAGGCAATGTTATCGGCCAGGCAGGGGTCACTGACACAGCGCGGACAACACTCCCCTTCCAAGAGAGCTGTGTACTCACAGCTCAGATTGGGGCACGTGAGTGGCCAGCAGTCTACCTCTCCTTCCTGCAGAGAGAAAGCTGAAAATGACTCATCATCGTTCATAGGAGAGGCCATTCCCAAGTCCCAGAAGGGGAGAGGAGCACAGGACTTCTCTTCATCTCCTCATTAAATGTTTCTAGCTAGCCCTGTTATGGGTACAAGTCATTTCCTCCTTGAAGAGATCCTACAGAGACTCCTTCTTCAGGATGATTTTGCTGACCACCTATTTTACACTCCATAGAGAGTTAGGTCAGCTTCTCTGCGTGCCAAGCATGGCCTGCAATTCTTCTCATCAGGATACTTATGACTGGATTCGAGTTATCATCCCAACTGCACATTAAGTTTGAAGGCTTGGGCTGGTTTTCTGATATTTAGCACAGCTTTGGTCAATATATGCTAATCAAGTGAATACATCAATAGAAGGTATGTTCCTTGATAATGATAAGGAGATGTTAATTTTTCTTGGGGTCAAAATTGGAACCCAAAGCAATATAATATTTCAACAACTTCATAAGCTGCTACTATCAAATTTCAACAGCTTCATAAGCTGCTACTATCAAAGATAGACTTTTTCAGAAAAATATGATTTCTGAGTGTAACGTGTGACTACTGAAATGTCTGCCTTACAATTTAAATGAGACTCCTACATGGTGCAGCACCTAGCACCTGTGGTTCTGTTGATGAGGCTAGGATAAGGTATTTCTCTATATGGCCAGTTCTGCTATCGAGACACTGATCACAATGTATATGAACCTATATTTAACTCCTCAGTCAGTGTCAAACAACAATGGGCTTTTACAGGAACAGCTGGCATCTATCCTGCTCGCTATTATATCACCAAAAGTCTGGCATAGACAAACTCTTGGTAAATATTGATGAAATGTGGACCATACTATTCTCAAGTAATTTTAAATTAGTGTTTATCATTTCTGTTCTTCCAAAACATGTTCACCTTGGAGTCTGGGAAGGAAAGATACACTTCTGGAATTCTATCTACGAAAATTTAATAGGTAAGATTAATGCCAATACTTCTGGTACTGCAGGAATGACTTCTTGGAAATGAAATGTAGTTTTCCAGATTGTTATGGAAACCAGTGATATGCTTGCATTGGATAATTATCTTAGTATTGGAGATTAAGCCAAGGGCCTTTGTACTGAGGTATGTCCTCAGCTCTTTTAAAAATTTCTAAAATTTTGAGGCTGAGCCTTACTAAGTCACTAATTCGCTCAGACTGGGATCACACTGGCGCTTCAGCCTCCCAGAATACTGGAATTACAGGTGTACATGACTGTGCCGGGCTGGATATATTAGCCCTTGTGTGGGAATTTCAAAATATAAAAAGCCGTTATTCTAATCTCTGAGTTATACTCCTTGGTATTAGGAAGGATTGAAAATAATATGCGTACTTAAGATTATCTGAGCATTTGTTTGGAGATTTTAGAAACTCTGATGAAAATTTAGATGATTTCTCTGAATTTGTTTTTATGTGGTACCCATAGACTCAATAATTCATCTCAGCAAAAGTTAAACACTCAGCTCAATTTCCATTATGAGTTGATTCAGATGGAATGCTCCAAATTTGAGACTGCCTCACTAATGCAAAATCGCATTTACTGTAAGATATACTGAAAATCTTCTCACCCATACAAACCTCCCTCTCTCTCTCCTTCTCTCAGTCTCCCTCCCTCCTCTCTCCCTCTCTCAACTCCTCTCTCTCTCTTTCTCTCTTCTGTCCAAATAATTTGGAACAGGATGAATCAGAAATTAAGCCTTTTTTTCTAGACTATCTCAAATTTGATTAACCATAAAAATCCCTGTATTGATATCTAAAACAATTTTTATTTTTTCTGTATGAACATTTAGCATCTAAAACAGATTTTTTTCATGACAGGAAATACAAGCAATAGCGGCAACTGTGCATCAGCTACCTTCTATGTGTCAAGTACTATATTTGTCCTTCACATACCTTCTCTATTCTTTCTAACAGCCTCATAAAATAGTCCATTACATGTGTGCCTGTGTACATTTGCAGGAAAGAATGACCGAGTGAATTGCCGGGACTTGCCCAAGGTAATCGCACACATGGAGGAAATGGGATTGGATTCTATTTCTTCATCACTCAATCTCTGGTATTTCTACTGTTTTCTTGCTTCTTATTCTGGAACCCTTAATGATTCTTTCACACTATATAGAGGATTTGGCTCTCTAAGGACTATAAGTACCTGTCAAAGCCTTGAATGCAATCTGTCTTGCAGGGAGATTTTTTTTTTAATCTGGACTTTCTGAAAAGTAACAGCTGTAAACTAACATTGCTTGAAGCCAAACCTGTTCCATTAATGTGCTCTTTAGGATTTATACACAACTGAATTTCTTTAGGCAGAACACATGCCCCTTAGTCAGCCACAGCCCCACAACTGTCCGCACATGATTACAAACAGCTGGAAACCAGAGCCCACAGGCAAAGAATCCTGCAGCCTTTTCCAAAGCAAAGGGCCAACACATTCACAGGAAGCTGACATACCAGACATCGGCACTGCTGGCAGCTGTGGGTCCAGTTGTCTCCACTTCGATAGAGTTTGTGTCCGTTTTGATCTAAACATTGACTGGTGACCCTGGTGTCACACTCTGGGCAACAGAAAAGGTCAACACTTGGATTCAGACAATCGCAAGCTGTCCGTCGGCAGAATATCTTCCCATCCTGTTTAGGAATAAAAGTAAGGAGGCATCATCAACACAGAAATGATGGACAGCAGTACTATAACAACCAAAGCTTTTACATACTTTACAGAGCACATGGGGAAATTTTCTTAGTCTTAGACATCGTCTACCCACCACCTGTTGTCCTCAGAGTGGATGCCCATTGGCATGCTCCTGCCAACATGTCCTTTCTTTCCCCAACTTTGCCCACAAAGTCACCCAAGTCACAATGCAGACACTTGTAAGTTTGACAAAGAAATCAACAGGTTCCTTGAAAATGTTTTCAATATCTTCTTAAAAATCACATTTCTGAGTAAGAATTACTGCTATGCTAGGTAGATAAAATGTTACATTTGAAAAAAAATTGTTACATTTGAGTGAAAAATTGTGCCCCTACCTCTTTCAAGGTCATAAAAATACCATCTGACAGGTTCATATGCAGTCATCTAATTTTATTCCTGTCCCAACACTAGAAGTAAGTCTGACTGTGCTCTTTTCACAGAAGAGTTAACTAAGGCTCAGAAAGGCCAAGCGACATAACCAAGAGCACACATGCACTAGTAACTCTGAGCACCAGTACCAGGTCCTATGGTTTTTGTTTTTTTTTTTGTTTTGTTTTTGTTTTTGTTTTTGTTTTTTTGGTTTTTCTCCCGTACCAGGAACTGAACTCACAACCTTACTCTTGCCAGGCAGGCGCTTTTGCCGCTGAGCTAAATCCCCAGCCCCGGTCCTATGGTTTAAAACAGTATTTCTTCCACATGACAGCCTTGGGGGTGTTCATTTGAAGAGATCATAAGTAGATGCCACCTTCCCTCTTGCAGCAGCTCACTAAATTACAGACATGATACAATCTCTAGGGTACTGGCCCTAAGGACCCACAGACATAAAGCAGTGAAAGTCAATAGCACTTGAGCATCAAGACCAAACATTTTTCAGCATGTCTCTTATCATGACTGCATCTCAGAGCAGTTTCCCACCTCAGACAATGAAGGAAGTTAAATGCAAGGTAAGGCCTATGGTCACCATTTAGGGTTACAATTATTTTGATAAATATTAAAAAACTAAAAATATCTCAGGGCTGGGGAATACCTTAGAGGACACATAACCAATCCTCTCTGTGGCAACAGCATTTGAAAGTCATCAAGCCTAGGCTTAAAACTCTCCAGTCTTAAAGAGCTTATCCCTCTGGGAAGCACTTAAAATGTGCTTCTTTATACATGTCTTAGTACCGGATGTACTGCTATCTCCCCATTATCCTTGACTCACACCCTTGGTAACCACAGAACTCCCAATACCTTCGTTCAACTCTTCACTTCCTTTTTTTAAAAAAGAAAATGTAAAAAACTAACAAAACAACAATGAAGACAAAAATCAAAGCAACACAACAACAACAAAAAGAATACATGACCTCAAAACAAAATGATAGGAATTAACAATGGTTGCTACATTACGTACTGCTATCTTCAACAAAGTTGCTCAGTCCACCAGACATAAGAATGTAAGACTGATCAAACAATCAAAGACTGTAAAATAAAACATTGGAAATGGTGCAGAGTTTCACCATACAAGATTTCTTTACATGTGCTATCACATTTAATCTTGATAATCTGTGAAATAAAACTTGATCTTCAGTTATCAATGAGGCCGCTGAGAGAGAACTAAGTATGTCTTCAGCAGCAGAGTGAACTGGGACTCACGGCACTTTGTTTTAAGTGCTGTACTTTCTCCAGGCCAGCCTGATTTCAGTATTTACTCTCTTCCTTTGGTTATGTCACAGTGTTGGCTTACATTGAGCTTAATGAAGACTAAAACCTCATTAAATCCCATCCCATTTTGTGCCTTTGGTTGTTTAGGGGCAGTGAATATATTACTTGATGTTTACCCCTGCTGGGTTTCACCTTGTTAGATTCATCTCATCTTTCCTATCTGCCACAGTGTTTTCTAAATGTTCTCTGTCACCTGCCATAGACTTCCTTCCTTCATGGCTTAGTGACATTGAACACAGGGGTAGACCTATCCTCAGGGTCTTCATCTACTTCATCCATAACGATGCTAAAAAAGACAGAGTTGTGGAAGTAAATGTGGTGTCAGCTAAAGTGGAAACTTTTAAAAGATTTACATTCTTTATAGAAAATATAAAGGAAATGCTAGCTCAGTATGTGATAAGTTAAAGTGCTGAAAAATTTCTTTCCCTCAAATTATATGTACTGGATTACTATACAGGAAGACAGGAAATCTTCATGTTCCATAAAGACTTGTGTGTGCATACACAGAGGGTTGGGGAGAGAGGAGGTGAATTTTGTCAGAGAATTCAATTGTGCAGACCCTATGAATCTCCTAGCAATAGGCTTTCGGTTTACAACTCATACCATTATTTTAACTTAACACATTTTGTGTAACCATGGCCCCAAATGAATACCTGGAGCATACTTTGAATCAACAGAAGGTAAAAGATAGCAGTGATAGCTACAACCTGAGACCATTTATTAATTCAGCTTTCTATGACACCATATCATTTGCCCCAAGTATAAACGGACTAAGCCTCAGGAACCAGCAAGACCAAGTCCATGAACAACATCAAAAGTGTAGATGAATTCATTCAGCTGAGGCTCATGCACTTCTAGCACAGTGTGTGCTTTCTTCCTACAGTTTGATTAAAAGAATGAATAAGAATAAATAAGTAGGCTTCAGGGTTAGTACAAAGTAAAGCAATTTCCCCTCTCTTCAATTATATAAAATGACAAATAGGACCTTCTTAGCCTCTAACATGTCTCAGAACAGTGGTTATGTTCACTGTGGCTTTGAATTACAGGGTAACCACCAAGAAAATTATTTTTAGTAATGAAAGTGTCACAGGTGACTCCATTAATTCAATGTGAATGTGATTATAAACCCTCAGCTCATACAGCACAATCACAGAAGACACAAATTTTAGAGAGAGTGGAGACCATGAATGGCAAGTGAGGTTTCTTGTTAAAATCTTTGAGGCTTCTCTAGAATTCAACCTCCATCCATGGTAGGCATCACGTAGATGTCAAAGACATAGTATACCAACCTTCTGCCTCAAAAGCTAAAAGTTTTTATTCAGTTCTATCATCATAAGTTAAACTGTGAGCAATTAATAAGTACTGCAATATGCAATTTGTTTCTGAACTTTAAACAGTGGGACATAGGCTTTGTTAGAAAACTTTCAAATTAATTCATTCTTATTATGCCATGGAAAATTATATGCTTTATCTTGTAAATTACACATTTCATTACCAAACATTCAACATGCTGACACATATACTCCAGATTTTCTACTGTCAACTGAGATTTTTTTTTTCTGCTACTGAGTTTTAAAATTTTTAAATCAAGAAATTGAACTTTGGTAAAATTATTTATGTAAGTTGAATACAAATATAAACTAGAAAGTCTAAATTTGACCTGTTTGCTTCTCTAAAGTTTTATTGAAAACCAGATTCCAATTTACATTTATTTGCATTATCATCTATGGGTACATTTCTGCTACAGTAGCAGAATTTTGAGACTTCATGGTATCTCCTAGGAACTAGGCAGAAATGCAAATTCTTGTGCCTCACCCTTCACCTACTGAACTGAGGGTGGAGTCATTGATCAAAATACCAAAGCCCCCAGGTAATCCTAGAACTAATGGGAATTATAAAAGCAAAACAGCATAACCCAGCTAACTGGGGAGTTAGCACAGTATAACCACCTCTTGCAATAAAAAGGCAGGCTTGGAACTAGAAAATGGAGTCAGGGAAATACAAATGAAAATCTTGTACCCTGTCTGGACCCCACACTTTCTCAGGGCTCAACTAAACCTGCCACCATCTTTATCTTTCAAAGCATAAGAAACATGATCTTAGGGCTTCCATAGCCAACTGCTGCTATGAAAGACAAGTAGGTACTGGTAATACTGCTGGTTGGCTTTAGAGAGCAAAGCAGCCATTTTTATGAGCACAACACAGGAATCTGAGTAACTAATTTCATTACGTTAGCCCGAGGCAAAGACTGATTCATCCCTGGTCTCTTCACCAAAAGTGACTGCCAGGCTTCGAATGGCAGACTAATGTGTTGGAGCAGATCTGAGTTGTCTCTCCATTGCTGAAACAGATGAAGTCCTTAGGAGCCCTGGTGTGGTCCACTTCTGTTCCTGGGCTAAAGTTCATTGGAAGCCAGGGCAAGAGACCCTCTTTCAAAACCACCTCAGGCCAAAGTTCTCTACCTTTGCCTTTCCCTTTTCCTTCTGTGCCATTGTAGCAGATGATCAGTTACTAATGGGATTGCTCTCCATATTCCTAATATTGCTGTAATCTTCAGAAAAACTCAAGGGCTGTTACTACTTAAATGTAGCCTTTATACAGGATAGTTAACATAGTTGTTCTACTATCTTCTATTTCTCTGCTGAAAGAAACTGTCAATGAGTCCTTGATTGATCAATATTGCACGTCTCTCTCTGTTTTCATGAGAAGCCACTTTGAAGATACCAATATGTAATACAACAAGCATTGCTAATTTCCGACCACTTTGTTTGTAACTCTGTATGGTCTGTACTGTTCTTTTGCTATTTTGTAAAATGTCTGTCTGTTAATGTTTTCCTCCTTTTGTTTTTAAAATAAAAAAATTAAAAAAAAATAAATGTAGCCTTTAGTTCTAGGCAAATGTTATTCACTTCCAAAAACTGAATAAGAAGCATAAAAATGAAATCTAGCCTCATTGGTTTTTCTCTTTTTTCCAGGAGGTTTTCCTCATTCTGATGACAGGTCAGTCATCCCGCATTAGTCAGAGGAGATATACTCCAAGACCCCAGTAGGCATCTGCTGCCATGAATAATGCTGAATCACATATGGCATGTTCTATTTTTTCCTGTAATACATACCTATGACAAAGCTTAACTTATAAAGTTGGCACAAAAGGAGATCAATAACAATAGCTAATAATAGAACAGTTATAACAATACACTGTAATAAAAGATGGACCAACATGGTCCTCTTCTTT